AATAATAAATCCATTCACATAACTATATACACAAATGCCATTCTCAAAATAAGTATTTCTCTAAATACATCTAACAGGACAATTCCATTATTAAAGGATAAATCCAAAATTAATGATAATTTGTAAGAACTGATTCTGGGTATAAGTGGCAGTTAAGCTATATGTTCCCAATAAAATGTATGTAGATTATAAAAAAAATAAATTATATTCATTATATAAATTAAATTATATTCATAAGCACTAGTCGCTAGACTGAATATATTCTGCTTTATACAACTTTTCAGTAAAATCAGACGTTTTGATTGGTTGGCTTTCATGTGTTATCAAAGTTTATACAACTTTTCAGTAAAATCAGACGTTTTGATTGGTTGGCTTTCGTGTGTTATCAAAGTATAGATACACGGATTACGTCAAAACTAATTGTTTGTTGTATAAAACAGATAGATCTCATTTTTCCRTGCGTGTGTACTCTAATAGATACACAGATGACGTCAAAATGTAGTGAGAMCAACAGTCACGCACTCGACTGCGTCTCGTGCGTACTTTTTTKTTCTCACTACATTTTGASGTCATCTGTGTATCTATTAGAGTACACAMGCAYGGAAAAATGAGATCTATTTGTTAAATAACCTCTAGAGAATAATAACACCATATATGATATAGCTTGACAGATAAGAAAAAAAAAACATATCTTGTATTAACAGTATCAGTTAGAGGTCTACAACATTACTCAACTGCTTTTTATAAGAACTGTCAATTTATTTGTACTTRACACAAACAAAACGGAAAATGGTACCAGTTAATATATTTCTATAACTGGGAGAGGAATTGCACTCCCACTACACCTCTGTTTTGAAAGAAATATATATTGTCAAAAATGAATAATGAAACCGTTTATCCTATTGCATTTATACCTTCCCATAACATATGTGAAAAGGATTCAGACTTGATGGAAGTTTCCTTGAGTTTACCAATGACTTCCATGTTGGCTTCGATGAAGCTCTTTGACCTGAAAGGTAGACCATGTTTCTTACAAAGAGCTTTCATTTCATTGTGGATCCCTCGAAGGTTATGTCTGGCAACTCTTGGGAACATGTGGTGCTCAAACTGGAACTGCAGACCACCATGAAAAAAGTCCATCCAAGGGTTACATTCAATGTCCATTGTGGTGTCCATCTGTGACAGCAAGAACTTGTCATTCTTAAATGACTCCTGTGGAATTCCACTGTGTGTTTCCATTGAAAAATGACTCAGGGTAATCTGGATGTGAATGATGCCTGCAAGGAAATGGGCCAGGAAAACAAACACCAGACGAGTTGTCCAGGTTGGTAAATAGCTGCATAGGTACAGATACCATGCCAAGAACAAAAACATGGTGAGGAGTTCCAGGAATCTCATCTTGACTTTTTCTTTAGACAGGGCGAAAAGAAAGCTTTGTAAGTAAAGGTTAAACCGTGCTAGTCCCATGACGAGGAAATACAGGTGATGCTGGTATGTGACAAGAAACTTGGCCAATTTGTCATACTGCATTACTCTTTGATGATAAAAAGAATAAATGGACTTGAAGTACTTCTCTGATATGACCAAGAATGGTAAAAACTGAATGTCTGGGTCAAATTCAATAGAGTTTGTAACAATATGATGTGCATTGTGGATTTTCTGCCACCAGCCTATGCTAACTCCAGTAAGCAAGTTACCAACTACAAGTCCAATGCGATCATCCCAAGTGCCATTGTGTGTTATTGCGTGATGGCTTGCATCGTGGCCAATAAATGCCATTTGTTGCCAGAATACAGCAACCAAGACACCCCCAAAGATTTGAATAGGGACACTTTGGGAGTAAACCACACAGTAGATAATGGCACATAACACTAGTGATAATGCTGCAGCAAGCCTTGCATAGAACCAGTCTGAAAAAATAAAAARCAATTCACAGATTATTTGGTATCTGACAGCGAACATTTCTGCAGCATGCATGAACAACACTAATAATGATGATATCTAAGGTAATTTTCTGGTTACTAAAATATTAGGGCTTGTGCACTAAGGGAAAGTACATTTATTATGCCGAGGGGGGTAATGAATATGTCATAAATATCTCATTAATTTTCTGAGCCTCTGTTTGGCTTGTCACAAGTTTGTCAAGTCCCCATAGAGAAATTTTTCAGAATATTATAGCCCCCCCCCTTTTCAGCATTCATTTCATTTCCAATKCTGCTCCATTTTTTGTGAGCCCCTCCCCAATGTATTCATGCCCCCCCTCGTCATATGGTAATAAAATTCACTTTCTGTTACAATAGTACTAATCGTTGTTAAGTAAACATGTATTGTTTTGTGTATGTATATAAAACCTGAATCGTGTAATTAATTCGAACTTGAAAAGGAAAAGCTGAACACTCAAGTAAAACTCAAGGAATTAGAAGTCAAATTAGCCGAAAGTCAAAAGCAAAAGCTTGATAGTGCCTCTGCTACGAATTTTGACATTGCTAAGAACGTTCGTCTCGTACCTCCGTTTAATGAGGACTGCGTGGATAAATACTTTTCGCATTTTGAGAAAATTGCTGATACTCTGAAATAAAAGTGTTTGCTTTTACAAAGTGTCTTAGTGGGCAAAGCCTAAGAAATTTATTCCGCAATACCTCTTGAGAATAGAAAAAGAATGCTTCTAATGCTGTTGCTATTCAGTCTTCAACAGATAAAGAATCACCGAAGGAATTTCAACCATTTTTTTTTCAAGGAACTGTGTCTCTTCCTGGTGAGAATGAGCTTACTGAAAGCCAGTCAAGATTTTTCGGGGCACAGGAGCAAGTCTTACTCTGATACAGGATGGAGTTTTGGAATTTTCAAATGAAACATCAACGGGTGAAACAATTTTGGTACATAACATTAACTTAAATTGTGATTTAGTTGCAGGATCAGTGACAGTTGGAGTCATTGCATCTCTTCCAGTTCAAGGTGTGTCCATACTCTTAGCCAACGATATTGCCGGGGGTAACGTAGTTCCCGAGCCAAGATTGATACAGCAGCCAAGCCTTAATGAGAAACTCGACGTCGACAGCGAAGGGTCTATACTCTTTCCATCATGTGTCGTCACGCGAGCCAAGACTAAGCAACTACTCAAGAGTGACGAGGAGACATTGGGTATAAAGGAGCTGTTTGACGCCCCCACAGGTAATATTACTTCAAATGCCAGGAAAAGCCCCTGATGAAGAAAAAGACACGCCCAATGAAGGAAGACTCAAAGCCCATGACAGCAAAGACGAGGGAGTGATGGAAGATAGAACCATCAACAGAAATCGCCTAGTGAAAGAGCAACAAACCGACGACAGTCTGCAACGCCTGTACACTCAAGCATATACAGAAAAGGAAGCAGAAGATATAGCAAACTGCTATTATCTCAAGGATGGAATACTAATGAGAAAGTRGAGACCGCCTATGGCCCCAGCTAATGAAGAGTGGCAAACGCGGCATCAAATAGTCCTACCCTGCAGCTCGAGAATGGAGGTTTTAAAGTTGGCCCATGATGCACCAATGGCTGGTCACCTCGGAACAACAAAGACAGCAAATCGAGTTCTACAACACTTTTTCTGGCCGGGGGTTGCGTAAAGATATAGTACAACATTGTAGGACCTGTCATGCCTGCCAGTTGGTAGGGAAGCCAAATCAGAGGATCCCCCCGCACCTCTGAGACCGATTCCAGCCTTCCAAGAGCCGTTCASTCGAGTGATCATTGATTGCGTTGGTCCTTTGCCAAAAACACGTTCTGGATGTCAGTATTTATTGACAATTATGTGTGCGTCAACACGGTATCCAGAAGCTATTCCTCTAAGAACCATCACGTCTAAAGCAGTCATCAGTGCGTTAACCAAGTTCTTCACAACATTTGGCCTGCCTAAAGAGATTCAACATGATCAGGGAACTAACTTCATGTCACGTGTATTCCAAGAAGCTATGAGTGAGCTCGGAATCAAGCAATTYTACTCGAGTGCATACCACCCAGAATCGCAGGGAGCCCTGGAACGTTTTCACCARACCCTTAAGAATATGATAAAGACCTACACCTTTGAGAATCAAARAGATTGGGACGAAGCRGTACCATTTTTGYTGTTWGGAGTGCGAGAAGTTGTCCAAGMGTCCCTTGGATTCAGTCCGTTCRAATTGRTWTTTGGACATGAGGTTCGTGGTCCTCTTAAGATGTTTAAAGAAAGTTTGCTTAACCCCAGCGCAGAGATGAATCTTCTCAACTTTGTTTCTACTTACAAAGACCGCCTACGTAAAGCCTGTAATTACGCCAAAAAGAACCTTGAATCGTCACAAATCAGCATGAAAACGTGGTATGACCGCAAATCCAGACAACGCGTCTTTAAACCTGGTGACAAAGTTCTTGTGTTGCTACCTGTTGCAAATCATTCACTAAATGCAAGGTATCATGGTCCCTACACTATTGCCAAAAAGGTCAGTGACACGGATTATATAATCAACACTCCTGATCGACGTAAGAACACTAGACTTTGTCATATTAATATGTTAAAACGTTTCTTTGAAAATGAAAGAGAGGAAACAGTTTTATCTAGTTGTTTGCAGGAAGAAGGCATAGAAGAGGAAAGATTGGAGTGTGAAGATATCGCAACAAGCCCACGACTGCCGAACTCGCAAATTTTAGACAATCTGCAAGATAAACTTTCTCATTTACCGGAAGAACATTGTGGTGAGTTAGCAAAACTTATCCTAGACAATAAGCAGCTGTTTTCTGATGTCCCAGGTAGAGCTGATGGTGTCTATCACGACATCGAGGTAGGAGATGCAACACCTGTTAAGCAAGCACCGTACCGACTTAATCCTGTAAAAATGGAACAAATGAACAAAGAAGTTGAATACATGTTACGGAATGATATTATTGAGCCTAGTCAAAGCAGCTGGAGCAGTCCATGTATTTTAGTACCAAAACCTGATCGTTCCTTTCGTTTTTGTACAGACTTCAGGAAAGTTAATGAATTGACCAGAACTGATTCGTTTCCAATACCTTATATTGAAACCTGCATTGATCAAATAGGTCAGGCTACTAACATTTCTAAGATTGATTTATTAAAAGGTTACTGGCAGATACCGCTGACCGAAAGAGCAAAAGAAATCTCCGCTTTTGTTACGCCAAGAGGATTCTTCCAGTACAAAGTAATGCCATTTGGTCTCAAGAATGCGCCTGCTACATTTCAGGACCTGTCATGCCTGCCAGTTGGTAGGGAAGCCAAATCAGAGAGTCCCCCCCGCACCTCTGAGACCGATTCCAGCCTTCCAAGAGCCGTTCAGTCGAGTGATCATTGATTGCGTTGGTCCTTTGCCAAAGACTCGTTCTGGATGTCAGTATTTATTGACAATTATGTGTGCGTCAACACGGTATCCAGAAGCTATTCCTCTAAGAACCATCACGTCTAAAGCAGTCATCAGTGCGTTAACCAAGTTCTTCACAACATTTGGCCTGCCTAAAGAGATTCAACATGATCAGGGAACTAACTTCATGTCACGTGTATTCCAAGAAGCTATGAGTGAGCTCGGAATCAAGCAATTTTACTCGAGTGCATACCACCCAGAATCGCAGGGAGCCCTGGAACGTTTTCACCAGACCCTTAAGAATATGATAAAGACCTACACCTTTGAGAATCAAAGAGATTGGGACGAAGCGGTACCATTTTTGCTGTTTGGAGTGCGAGAAGTTGTCCAAGAGTCCCTTGGATTCAGTCCGTTCGAATTGGTATTTGGACATGAGGTTCGTGGTCCTCTTAAGATGTTTAAAGAAAGTTTGCTTAACCCCAGCGCAGAGATGAATCTTCTCAACTTTGTTTCTACTTACAAAGACCGCCTACGTAAAGCCTGTAATTACGCCAAAAAGAACCTTGAATCGTCACAAATCAGCATGAAAACGTGGTATGACCGCAAATCCAGACAACGCGTCTTTAAACCTGGTGACAAAGTTCTTGTGTTGCTACCTGTTGCAAATCATTCACTAAATGCAAGGTATCATGGTCCCTACACTATTGCCAAAAAGGTCAGTGACACGGATTATATAATCAACACTCCTGATCGACGTAAGAACACTAGACTTTGTCATATTAATATGTTAAAACGTTTCTTTGAAAATGAAAGAGAGGAAACAGTTTTWTCTAGTTGTTTGCAGGAAGAAGGCATAGAAGAGGAAAGATTGGAGTGTGAARATATCGCAACAAGCCCACGACTGCCGAACTCGCAAATTTTAGAYAATCTGCAAGATAAACTTTCTCATTTACCGGAAGAACATTGTGGTGAGTTAGCAAAACTTATCCTAGACAATMAGCAGCYGTTTTCTGATGTCCCAGGTAGAGCTGATGGTGTCTATCACGACATCGAGGTAGGAGATGCAACACCTAAGCAAGCACCGTACCGACTTAAATCCTGTAAAAATGGAACAAATGAACAAAGAAGTTGAATACATGTTACGGAATGATATTATTGAGCCTAGTCAAAGCAGCTGGAGCAGTCCATGTATTCTAGTACCAAAACCTGATCGTTCCTTTCGTTTATGCACAGACTACATTAACAGGAAAGTTATATTGAAACCTGCATTGATCAAATATGTCAGGCTACTAACATTTCTAAGATTGATTTATTAAAAGGTTACTGGCAGATACCGCTGACCGAAAGAGCAAAAGAAATCTCCGCTTTTGTTACGCCAAGAGGATTCTTCCAGTACAAAGTAATGCCATTTGGTCTCAAGAATGCGCCTGCTACATTTCAGAGATTAATGAATAATGTAATAGGAGGTATATCCAACTGTGATGCATACATTGATGATATAGTTCTCTATCATTATAATTGGCAGGATCATGTGAAAGGGCTGGAGGACGTCTTCAGAAGTTTAACATCCGCTAATTTAACAGTCAACCTGGCGAAGTCTGATTTTGGAAGAGCAACTATCACGTACTTAGGACACGAAGTTGGACAGGGTAAAGTAAGGCCGGTACAAGCCAAAGTCGAAGCTATAGTCCAGTTTCCAGTCCCCACGACYCGACAACAACTCTTGCGTTTCCTTGGAATGGCCGGATACTACAGAAAGTTTTGCAGAAGCTTTACAGAGATCGTATTGCCACTCATCGAGCTAACTCGTCAAAAGGGTACCATTTGTGTGGACCGCCCAATGCCAAAAGGCGTTTGATGAAGTTAAAGCAATTCTGATAAATCCGCCTGTACTAGTTGCACCAAACTTCAAACATCCTTTCAAGGTTATGGTAGACGCGAGTGGTGCCGGTTGTGGAGGAGTACTATTACAAGACGATGACAGTGGAATTGACCACCCCGTTAGCTATTTCTCCAAGAAGTTCAAGCCTGCACAGAGAAACTACTCAACAATATCGAAAAAGAAAGTTTAGCCTTGCTCTGAAGCAGTTATTGAGGTCTACACTGATCACAATCCATTGACTTTTATCAATAAGATGAGGAACCAGAACCGACGTTTGCTGAGATGGTCTTTGGTACTACAAGAGTACGATCTCGTGATAAAGNCGTGAAAGTGAAAGTGTTCCGATGTAAAAATGAAATCGAATGAAATAAAACCAAAATAATCGCTTTCCTATAATATCATGCTTCGAGCAGAAAATCCATCTCAAAACAATAGAGCCTTTATTGAATACCATTTCCATCATAAAATCCATGTGTTTTCCTTAAGCTCTATTCAATATTTGGATAATTTAGGCTTTTCTTTACTTAAGTTAATTTGAATAGAAATTTTTAAATTTGACTCATTAACATATACAGTAAGCTCCTAGCTCATAAAATCAAAATTATTGCTATTCATTCCAGAAAATTCCATGGTTCTTCCATTCAAATTGTCTCTGATTTTACCATGAATAGGTAGGAATAATATGCTTATAAATTCGCAATGATGTGAAGGTATACCGAGTATTGTTTTATTTAGTTAATTGTATGCACTGCTGAAATAAGAAGCTTTGCTCCAATCTTAATTCTCAATTCTGGTCGACAGGAAATCTAAAATGTGATTGCTTTCGACGTTACGGAATCATATAGTTTGTTTCTGTCAAAAACAGAACAGAACCAATAATTTTGGTACTTCTATAATTTATGTCGATGAACACTGTCATCGTATCTGGATGACCACCGATGGTGGAAGTGATTTACCCTATTGCATAATTTGAAAATGTCTCTCGTGGACAGGCGATTATAAAGGGCGTGGAGTACAGCAAAAAAGAGAAAGCATTCTTAAAATCAAAGACTGTATTTGACTTTCACATAGAGTAAATCTTGATTTGAGATAAGTCAAATAACGTAGAATATGGCCGTTGTAATATTTTGACATCGACGTAGTGTTCATTTCGCGAGCGACTTTTGCCGGTAAATGCTGATAAAAGCTTGTTATATAAAGTCGAAGTCACTGAATGAGTAGAATGAGTTAGTTCAAAAGGATTTGGGGATAATACCAACATAGTCGATTGAAAATTTGATGTGGGCTAGTTAATCACACAACTGAACTCACAGTTCGTTTCGAGGCCGCCATCATCAACCACTTTTTGCCTCATCTTTTCAAAGTCCTCGCTYAGTTTTGTCTTCTTGACTTCATCTCYTTCTCCTTTCACTTCGCCAATCTTGAATGCAGGMWGYTTTTTCTCTGTTACCCAAGCTGGATGGAAAGCTTTAAAGACATCAGTACAATCATGGCCAGCCATATAGCGAATTGGTAGCTCGCCACCAGGATGAAACTGAATCCATTTTGAAAGGTTGTATACTCCGCCACTTATAATCACCCAACAGTCATCTTTTGAAGAATGCTGYTTAACTTCATCGGTAGTATATTGCCTAAGCTTTTTTCTTTCTTTCGTGGTCATTATGGAGCAGTTTTTGATAAGTAAGCGTACGCTCCCGACGTCTGGAATCTTTGTACTTTGCTCAGGGAAAACACGCCTGATACGGCCGTGCAGTGGCGCGATGGGGCAATACTCCGAAATACACTGCTGTGATTGGCCTAAAAACAATGGGATTCAATAGATGGAAAATGGTTATATATTCACAAATTACGAATGGAAAACCCCAGGGTCATGCATGGCTAACGAATATTGTCTGCCTTTGAAAACCAGATGTTTTAAGCACATGGGCAATTACAAACGATATCTTTATGGAGAACAAATCAGGAATTTAGCCCAAAAGGCCTCTATTTTGTCTGTTGGATTTGTCTATCCGACGTTTTATTGTCCGAGACATACCGGTCTTATTTCTTTTTATTGCATTGCGAAATATACAGAACTATTGCAAGCACGAGGMATTTKAATCAAATATCCCTACGTGAAAATAGAAATTTCAAGGCTTATTCTTCCTCTGAGATGTTATTTTGTGTATTTTGTTATATAATTTAAACGCCACACCAACCACTCGAACCGCATTTTCAAAACCCTGGCTGGCCCCCTACTACTGTAGCTCCTACTTTATAGACTTACTTACAAGGAATATATAGCATGTTGTTGCTATTTCAAATAATAGAGTCGTATACAAGCCTGTATATTGCTGGCTTAGAAAATCGAAATAGTCAGAACCCCTGTACTTCTAGTTTGTATCCCGCGAGGTACGGGATCGTGACGTAATACCAAAGGTAATCCGCATAGTTCGTTCTCTTTTTATCTCAAGCAATAGTYGAGCTAGTTCCAGAGGTTTTCTATYTTTYTCGTATTTTTGTCTTTGCYTTTTAATTTAACGACAAAGCTCAAAAGTAAAGACAAAWAGATTATAAATACTAAAAAAGAAAACCCTTGAGCAGMCTATAACAAYGTCACGCACCACGCGGCACACGCCACGCTCATGTGAAACATCGCGTWTTTTATGGCTCACTTGCTAWGCATACTAATATATTAAAGATAAATTGAGCACATACAATCCTCAAGTTTCGAGATCCTATTTGTGCAACCTTATAACCTCGAAAGCATGTAATATATTCTTTTATTCAGYAGAGAATCTAATGTAATGAAAACACTCTGTGTACAAAGAAGACAACAAATTTATGCTTGATTGAAGCTAAGGTTGCAGAAAAGAGAATTTGAACCTGGAGTATTGCTGATAATACGAAGTTCAAGAACAAATTTCTGAAGTTTTATTTCCTCATCACTTTCATCGTGCGTCACCACACTCCGGAAAAGATCAAGCGCTTCTGAGGGGCTAGAAAGCTGAAATTTCAATTTTTCAGTTTTTACATTTTGACGTTCAAGTAACCTTTTCGTTTTTGCTTACAGCAACTGAAATGCAGTGTCGCGTATTCAAATTCCACATGTTTTCATTCAAGTGTGCTTCTATTTGCACTATAATTTCTCTCATGACAGCAAAAGAAAAAAATCGGATCTCTTTCAGACGCGACAATTAATAAACATAGCTTGCTCTTTTGCGCCTATACGATTCGGCTTTCAGCCGCAGCTGTTTTGATTTTGGTGACATATTGAAAACGCGAACAAGAAAATGGTTTGCGTCGCAGCATTTAGCGTCTACGAACGGATTACGTACAAACGCACAAACATAAAATAGCTTATACCTATTTCAATGCCTTGACGTAGCTAATTGTTCTCTAAGAGAAGACTTACTGTATTTTTTCGTTCGCTCATCCAGTTCGTAGCCGTTTCCAGTGTTTTCCATTGCAGTTTAAAAGGCTGCAAAGAGTTTTATCGAACACAGGAAGACCAATCAAGACTTCAAGGAGGCGTGCCYAAAAACGTCAAAAATAGGAAGACCAAACYACGAACGGAACAATTTTAAAACTCTCGCCTGTAAAGCGTTCCACGTTTCTTTATTGTTTTTCGTTATATTGAGGACGGAGAACTATACTGACAAAAACGCAATGAGTACAACGAAAACGTATCAGGACTGGTCCACACAATCTAGTAGAGTTTTTTTTGCTATTGATACCCAGTAAAAACAATGCGAAAAAAGCGCTGCGAAAACGCAAAATTTTCCTTGAGTCGAATTTCATAATTCAACTTATTTCTCCGAGGCCGAAGAATTGAGATTGGAASTGTTCATGACCCCCAACTTCTGACCAGAATTTTGACGTATAAAGGCGACGATTTACCAATCCCTTCCTATATGTGGAACTGGCATTGCAACACTTAAGTAGTCTAAGTTTGCTGTGTCTCATTCATTGTTGATCACTTTGCTATTCATGTGAAAAAGGTCCTTCACCAAGACCCCACAACACCCTTTCCAGGCCCCCTTAAGTCATTCACCTACCCAGTCCACAAGTCTGTTCTCATTTGCATTAAATTCATTAAATTCAATTAACGTAAATTGAAAACTAAACACGATACAAAATTAAAAACTTGATAAATAATAAAATGTTCTGAACATGTTTGCTTTTATAGACAAATTTTAAAATGAAATCTAATAATAATAATAATAATAATAATAATAATATGTGTTATTTATATAGCGCCGATATCCTCTGAGTTCAAAGGCGCTTCACATGTATAGATCATTTCACACGGACCGCTGTTTAAGGCGCAATTGATCTACTCAAGATCTACAGGAACATTTTATGGTGGTTCTTCATTTTTTTACTAAGCACATCACAATGCGCGTATGTAAACAATTTGATTCTGGACTTGAAAGTCACTTTATCATCTGAAAGAGAAATATTGATTTTAGGTTAATCTCGGCGATTAATTGCAATCCCGCGAAGATCCCTCGTCTCGTCATAGCTGCCTCGAATGCCTTGCCAAAACCGACCAATCACATTACAGAAATCGCTTTTCGCTCTTCAGACTGTCGAACGATGAGAAGTGTGAGATGTAATGTGTTAGGACCTTGCACAAAAGTCACTTTTTTGCCGTTTTAGTTGACTATGAAGCTGTAAAGTTAACCAATCTGGTAWCAGCAATGCCGAATAAAGGCAAAAAAGAGAAGGTAGGTCTATATTGGAGTGTTATTATCATTATATAGCGGCATACAAGCATCGATCTCAAAACTAAAACCGCCAAACGACTTAACCTATAGTTTCTATATCACCTCACTCTATCTGTGACCTGTTTTAGGCTTCCAAAGCAAGTGGATCATCAAAGCAAGCTAGTAAAGATACCACGGATGGTCCAATAGAAGATGTAAGTTCTTCATTGTCTTTGATTTTCATTGTTGTTTCACTGCCATATTGGAAAGGCTACATCCAAAACCACGTTCAARTCGCGAAGGGTGTGTTGAATGATTGCAAACCTTTTTGTATTTTGTAGASCAAAAATAAAGCTCATGGCGCCTCTCATCCGCCCAGTCAAGTTGTGAAACTCCGTCATTTTGCCAACGGCCCTTCAATTATGAGGAAGGAGAAACGACATAGTTCAACTTTCAATGTGAGCGATAACCGGGAATTGGTTAAATTACCTCCATTAAAAGGTACTGAAAGAGTTTCTAAGATTTGTCCAGAGCTGGGCAATTGATTAATTTATATGTATTTAATTTACTGAGGAGTTTTCGATKTAGAATAATCAGTAGATCTTGTGGTATATAGCAGTCGATAGACCCTGCTCGCTATAATCGCACCATTCTCTCTCCCTTTGGTACCGTGTTTACGTTCTTTGACAAAGGCAATGATGTACAKATCTGCATAGAATTAYGGAGTTTATAGTGTGGAATTTTGYGTCTAAACATATTAATTGCATTTTTGAAAAACAGCTTAGGAGCTGAATCACGTCCGTTTTATTTCTTCTCCAAAAAATAATAAAGATGTATGAAATACCACAGTGAAGTCGTAGATTTTCGGCATGAAAATCGCAGCACAGGATTTGTCATTGACAAAGATAACTGTTCTGCAATAAACTACCTAAAATCTGGACTTTATTATTGCTTAGGGTTTTTATTTCCACTTAATCATCACTTCAAAATGGAATTTTGGAAGTAATTGAAGTGATTTTGTAAATCATACACTATTACTGTACGATCTGCTGTCAGTTACAAACCCAGAAGTTCGAAGATGGCTGCATACATCTTGAAGGAKATACTAGTATATCCCTTTTCCGATATCACGATGGTGAAATAATAACATTTCACTCGAATTTTTATTGGAAAGAAGAAACCATTTGGTATAACTTCAAAGGCTTAAGAGTTTAGTGTTTCTCGGCATTAATCGAGATCGATGATTGACGCTAACCAATGTAAGCTTACAATTTTAGCGGCGAAGAAATCAAAAACACAGCATCTTTTATTATACTGTCTGTAGACATGTTGATTTTGAATAGTCTTTACAGTTTTGTTTGTATAGTTATTCTCTTTAATTGTTGCTTGGACGCTTTGGTTGCTTGTTCATCAGGGGATCAAATCGTTTCGCTTCATCACCTTCTATACAAAATGTGCATTTTTAGCGTTATCGAACGAATAATCGATTTTTTTCGTAAGCATAATTAATCATATTCATGTTAATTCTAGTTAATCTGTCATTGTTATGTCTTGTTTTCTGCCAAGTGTACACTGTACGTTTTATAGTTTACTAGTGTCCATGTGTAGATAAAGCAATTGCTATAATTTGTATTTACCACCAACTGATTGAACACAATAGCTATAGTACAGAAAAGATTTGCTCTTGCAGTATGATATTGGTCATGTTCAACATAGTGGCAGTTCTTTTCAAAGCATCATTGACATTATTGCTTGTTCTATTTTTATCGAAAAAAAGTCCTGGTTATGGTCATGTCAGAGACAGTCCATCCATTAAATTCTCTCTTGATTGATTGCACCCCTGCATTAGGCTCAAATCAATGGCCACATCGAGAACTTGTGAAAGCAAACATTAAAATTTACTGTTTTATTAAATAGCAAAACAAAATCAAAGAAATCAAAACAAAGTACTTAAAGTAAGGACTTAAAGTGGATGTTGTCTGGACAAAGCACATCTATTGTTATTTCAAAGGTTTTACAAGAGTATTGCACTTTTTTGAAGACGACAGCATAATATAGTTTTCTTCTCCACAAATTCTTAATGTTCCAGTTTTCCAACAAATGCTGATAGATTATTTGTCCTTTGCTTCAACAATTGCCTGTAAACAATTGTCTGTTAACCTTACATATTAATCTCCAGTAAGACTTGAAGAGGAAATATGTTTTGAAACGTGATTTATATATTAGAAATGTCCACTTTTTGATCATTTGCCTGACCTYATCATGCATCAGTTTAATAGGTCTGTCAGACTGGGGGCCACYACAACTATTTGGTACTGATCAAATGTTTTCACTACTTTTGATAACTTCTACATATTATTTTATATTATCATCAAAATTGTACAATTGGATATATATAAAATGAAAAATTGTGGTTCTCATGTTTTTTCGATTTTTGTATATATAATATAATTTTGTTTAGTTATACTCTTTTGAGAGTTATATTTCCATTGTAATCAACAATTTGTACAGTATAAAGCGAGTTAAACACTATTATATTCCAAAAGGGGCACACAATCTATATTTACATCACCATATTTTGCTAACTTAACTTAGGTTATCATATTGCCATCTTAATGGTCTTAATATAGCTGACCCTACATTCCTTGAAGTTATATTCATAGGATTATATCCATGTCTTATCATTATAGAGTGCATTGAAGTTTTATAGTGAACAATACGTCATTAACTTTGCATTCTTGAGGCACAAAGTACTTTCACCTTTTGATGGCAGTTGATTCTAGTTTTACATCATTGTCAAGTTAATTTATATTGCACTTAATAATTCAGAAGTGATTTGATCTTGTTTTGATGCTAAACAATAAATACATTTTCTTACACAGATTGTGCTTCAGCTGAGAGAGAAGCCCTCTTTGTACAGAAGCTTCAACAATGTTGTGTGATGTTTGATTTTGCAATTGATCCTCTTAGTGATTTGAAGTACAAAGAGGTCAAACGGGCATCTCTTAATGAACTCGTCGACTTTGTGACTCATAATAAAAACATTATAACAGAACCTATTTATCCAGAAGCAGTCAAAATGGTAAGCAAAGTAAAAACAACAATAACACTATAGAATAATAACAATTGACAGCTACAATCTTATAACAATATCAATTCTATTTTAGTGCTTGTGTTCATTGTGTTCCAAAATATGGAATTAAAAAACATAATCTAAAGTAAATATGCCTTCAAGATTTAAGCATTTCGCATATATAAGGTTTACAATGCAGAGAATTTCTGCTATTAATGATCAAACATATTTTGACAGTTTTCCTGTAATACCTTTCGGACTTTACCACCTCCCTCCAACCCTAATGGTGCAGAGTTTGATCCTGAGGAGGATGAACCAAACTTAGAAGCATCCTGGCCACATTTACAGGTGACTTTTTGYACAATACGCTGATTGAATAAATGTTGTTGTAATTTATTGTATAACATTGAAATATAAGAACTCTGCACTTTCTTTTCAGATTAACATCCAATTTAAAGCTTTAGATAAGAAATTTGTACTTTTAAAGACAGTGGGAGTCAAGTTTATTTATCAAAGGGACTGCATAAATGCTCTACTTTKGGACAAAACTATGAATGCTTTTCTTCTAACTGAACAATATTTGGTGTAAAATCAATCAGTAAACAAGTTATTWTTCTTGCATTTTCTAGATTGTTTATGAGCTGTTTTTGAGGTTTCTGGAGTCTCAAGACTTTCAACCATCAATGGCGAAGAAACATATCGATCAGAAATTTACATTACAGGTATTGCGAAATACTGTTGATTWTATTATATTGAAAGTGATACTTAAATCCCTGTTGCTTTCTTTGGTGATTTGATACATAAYGAGTGTCAKTGATCTCTGTGGGATATACAATAAATGTCTGCAGGCATTTTGTATCCCAKGAAGGAGGTGGGAAAACATTGTAAGTTATTATAATTATATTAAGTGTCAAACWTCACTTTTTTTAAGGCTTGAGTTCGACTGAGATTGAGATTTTCGCATGAATGTGAAAAAATTWAATATTCTCCTGGAGACAATTATTAATATTGTCAATCCTTTGTTGTTTTTTACAGTTACTTGAATTATTCGACAGCGAGGACCCTCGYGAAAGAGACTTCCTAAAGACTATTTTACATAGAATCTATGGCAAATTCCTTGGACTACGAGCTTTTATAAGAAAATATATCAATAATATATTCTACAGGTGATGTCATGCAAAATGTTTAATAAGAAAAATAATGATTGATATAATGAATTTTCTAATTATTATTTAATGGTCAGTTATTCCATTTTGATATTTCTCTCTCAAAGACTAAACTATGGGTGAAAGAGTATTCAATGCATGAACAGGCTTAAGTGAATAGGACGACAATTATTTTGTTGCATAGATTATGCAAGMTTTTTGGTTATCAAATCTTAATGTTTCTTAGTGTTATTAATTGCTGGTGAGACGTGATATTGGGTTTTGTTGTACAACAACGTTCTGGTCACCAGAGATCACTTGTGGCCAGAATGTGGTTTTAGCGAAGAGTTCTTTGTGTGACTCACACCCAGATTTGGGTTAATGTACCTGTGATTAAGATGTATTTGTCTGTATGAATTCTCATCATGTGTATATTTTTCTCTTGATATAGGTTTATTTATGAAACAGAAAGACATAATGGAGTTGCTGAGCTACTTGAAATTCTYGGCAGGTTAGTAAATATTAAGGCTGGATCATGGCAACTTCATGCTCTTCTTACTAGTAGTTGCATTATATTCATTGAAGTAGTTCCAGCATCATATCCGATTATGGGATTTGAGTTACCCATGTATTAAGCCTGGTTTTCACTAGCGACACAAGAGCAAGCAGAGAAGTATTTGTGCAAAAAGTTGTGCTTGTGTTGYGTTTCGTTTTCACTACAAAAATCAAGTGCAAGCACAAGAGCAAGCACAAGAAAAAAGGAAAAAAAAWTGATATCTGCTGTGCTTGCTTTATCACTGCGTTGGGCAGGTTTCACTATGAAAAAAGTCCTCTTGCATTTGCRCTTGATTCTGCGCCTGCTTTAGCGTCACTAGTGAAAACCAGGCTTTATTTTAAAAGAAAACTACTTTTAAGCCACCGAGTGTTGTGTTGAGTGTTTATGAAGTATGGGTGTGACCTGTGAGTCAGAGTAGGTATTGTAGTAACCTATGGTAGTATCTAACTAAAGGATAGAGATGTTTATGAAATTGCTTGGTTTTATTAAGACTTTAAAGTGTTTTAACATCTGTTTTTGATATTTTTCTAGTATAATCAATGGGTTTGCACTTCCTCTGAAAGAAGAGCACAAGTGCTTCTTGATCAAAGTTTTAATGCCGCTGCATAAAGTGAAATCGCTTGGCATGTATCACCCGCAGGTATGATAGGATCTAATTTTCGGTACAACAATTTTCTTCAAGGCATTTTGCTGCAATAAAGGATTTATCTTAACAGCAATATTTGTTTTTACTGCAAATAGATGTAGTCACATTGTCAGTTTTGCTTGCAGGACTAACCTGAATTACATGAAAAATAGATAGTTGAGTGCCCAAAAATACTCATGAGTACAGCTCACAAAGATTATATTGTCCAAAAACTAAATCACACTGTAAATGCAACTAAGGCTGRTCTTGGAAAAACCTTGWAACTGGTTAATTGAAGTAGCTTTTAATGTCAACCTTTCTCTTTTCAGCTGGCCTACTGTGTTGTTCAGTTTTTAGAAAAAGACCCCACCCTTACAGAACCGGTAAGTGATCCATTCACTTGAATTTTTAAGGCTTTTATCACTAAAACCGTTTTTTCAACAGGTTTTAGTGGCATTGATGAGATTCTGGCCAAAAGTTCACAGCCCAAAAGAGGTGAGCATTTGATCCTTATGCCTCATTTCAAAAGGAAATTCTGATGGATCTTGATAGAGCTGTTACTGTAATCTTTTTCCTGAGCAGTGTGATCAACCATGAAAAGAAATATGTGATTGACAACTTTATTGTTAAGGACTTTCAATTTGACTCTAGAGCAAGTGCCAGAATTATAAAAATGTGTTTCAGGCTGAATTTGTTTTATTATTATTTAGGTTATGTTCCTTAATGAACTGGAGGAAATACTTGATGTCATTGAACCAACTGAGTTTGTAAAAGTCATTGATCCACTTTTCAAGCAGTTGGCCAAGTGTGTCTCAAGTCCTCATTTTCAGGTATTGTTCATTACTTTTGATACACTTAAAGTGATAGTTTTGCATTATAATAATAGACTTMTGAACCTTTTACGTTAATACTTGATTTTCAATGCATCCATCAGTTTCAAGAGAAAACAAAAGAAATCTGCCATGTTCTGTCCCAAACACATCCTACAATGCATTGCGTATAGGGTACATGACGTAGGAACTGCAGTGACATGATTCTTGAATATTATGCTTAATGAAATTTAAGAAAATAGTCATTTTTTCCAACACTTTTTGATACATGATGGCAAGCTACATAACATACATATCCGATAAATAGTGCATTTTTGATGCCATTATTAATTGAGAGTGGAAAATGATAATGTAAGAGGCACATTGACTTCTAAAAAAACACAAACAAATTTTTTAGTACTTTTTCAATTGCACAATTGAGACACAATATCACACTTATGTTTATTGCCTTTGAAGTCAATATTAAAAGCCATTGTCTCAGTGTGTAAGCTTTTTGAAGTGCTTCTATGATGTCATAAAGGGAAATATGGAACAAATGTTTCTGAAAACAGCTTTCAGAGTCTGACCATTACTTTAATTTTTAACTAATCTAATGTTAAGAAGTTGTTTCGATGATGTTTTTGTAAGACTAGAACTTTCTTGCTCATTTATTCGATTTGTTGTAGCTTCAGGGAGTAGCTTCTCTTATTTAAGGAAAATCTGTTCTTTACTAGAGCTTGCCATTGGGTGGTGTTAGGGATTAAAAACTTGTGAGATTCAAGGAAAGTTATGTTTCTCTTTCAGGTTGCAGAGCGTGCACTCTACTACTGGAACAATGAGTACATCATGAGTTTAATAAGTGACAATGCTAATGTAATATTACCTGTCATGTTTGCATCTTTATATAAGAACTCCAAGAATCACTGGAATAAGTGAGTGGATTTGCAATCATTATGAAAATATAATTGAGATTATTATGCGCCTAATTGAAAAAACTTCAGTGTCGATAAGGTCTGTGTCATCAAAGTTAAGACCTAAAGAAACTAGTATAATATCATGTGTTAACATTGTTTTAGTTCCCAAATATTGTCTGCTCCTAGTAGTCATAGCTTCCTTTATGATGAACATACTTGTTTGGGAAAATATGAATAAAATGTTCAATTACGGAAAAAATCCTCCAGTCTTTGCTTCAATGATATGACCTGTAAAGCCTGGAAACATATTTGGATTAGGTTAATTATGTTTTATAAATTGAGATGAAGAAAAAACAAGACAAGCATTTGTAAATGCAGATGGACAGTCCTCAAAATACAATGTTATTCAAMAATCTCTTGCTTTTTGAGATTATGAGTGCACCATCTTCAATCATGATCGTCATCATTATCATTATCATTATTTTTTTTACCCCTTTATTGAAAGTGAATTTTCTTCTTTAGGACAATACATGGCTTAATCTACAATGCATTAAAACTCTTTATGGAGATGAATCAAAAACTATTTGATGATTGTACRCAAAAGTACAAAGCAGAAAAGCAAAAGTAAGGAGAGATCTTTTAGTCTTCCATCTTTTTTTTTCATTATAAACAACAATTTGAGATGATGTTCCCAKGGAGTATTGATAGGCAGCTGGTGTTGTGCAACATCAATATTTTGTTCTGTTGTGCTGTCATGCCATCTCAATATTGTGACATAATTTTGCATTGCAATTCCACCTTGTTTCTCAAGAGCTTGTCGTATAAAACCTATAAAGAGGTGATCATTTGAGTATGTAGTTCATGCACATGTAATTTTTGTAAGGGTTGGACATACCCTCTCCCTGATGTGATATATTATGATCTCCCATGATGTCTCCATTACTAAAAGTCAATATTTTCATTTGCAATGTTTTTAGGGAGAAAGAAAAGCTAAAAGAAAGAGAAAATGCRTGGCTAAAAATCCAAGAGTTGGCTATTAAGAATCCAGATGTAAGTACACTTATTATCCATTAGAAATATACAATTAGACCACGAGGCTGAATGGACTACAAGTTCACAGGGCTGTCTGTGGTCTAACTGTTATAGTATCCACCAAACTCCAATTTTCTCTGAATGCATCCAGTGGTGTTTTAAGCACTTTAAAAGTAGTTTTTGTTTTTTTGTGTTTAACCAGTATGCAAAGGTGGCGCGGTTGTCAGATGATGATAATGATAATGAAAATGATGCAAGAGACATGGAATGTGCAGATGGCTCTGTGAATATGGAGCAAATTTTGAATGCCAAACCAGGTTCAAAGGTAGGCATCTTGATATTTAAGTAATGGTCCGAGTAAGAAGCAGGCAAGAAAACGGCAATGGAATGCATGAAGGTGCTAATTTTGTATTGTATAATCCAGCCATCTCAAAGGTTAAAACATTAAAATCTGCCATAATTTCAAAAGTAATCGCATTTTTTAATATTTTGTTTAATATCTGATTCTAACTTCATAAAAGCTTTCCTTAGCTTTAATATTAATAGCAATTCTATCTGGGGAACATAGCAAATTAGAAGCATCTTTTGGCTATTGTTTTGAGTGCTTATGATTGGACAAGATCTTTTAATGCAAAAGAAACTTTGTTTCAAAACAGAGTTTATCCACATTTTATTTTAAAAGTGTGTTACCCATAGTCAGTGTGAAAACCAAGACATTCGTATGTGGGGAAGTTGCAATTGCCGCAGAACAATAGAAGGTTGCCTGCTTTTTGCGTGCATTGTTACTTAATATAAAAAATAGGATATTGAGACAGGCTCCGTCATTGTCTGGTATTGTTTGCTCCTGTAGCTGTGTTTGAAGAATGAGCCGTGGGGATTGTGAATTGGAGTATTCTTCTGGGCTTGTTTTTCCTGTTTTGTCTTATTAAGCTTCTTACAATACATAATTGTTTTACAAATAAATATTGTCATTGTATCATCAGGATCTAAATGCAACAACGAAAAATCAAAGCAGGAAGTTTGTGCGGAGAAAGTCTGACATCCCACACGACTCACGGACAGTGAAAGCACTCCAAGACTATCAGCCTCCYGAAGAGTATTTAGGTGCATCAGTATCGTCAGAATCATAAATAATATACCTTGACTTTCTAGCATGTCTTGATRAACAAAATGTAAGCATAGTTTCATGTTTGATATCTTTGAAAAATGGTTGCCAATGGACCATCTGATCTTCCTTTTTATTAAATGCTTATCAKGCCACATTCTTTTCAATATTATATATATCTGTGTGTACTACCTTTCAACCTTCAGACTCTGTMAGGATTTTTGTAATGTTTTTTATTTCTTTTCAATTTTGCTTTTGGCTCTTTCAAACTTTGTGTTTTAATCCACTCTGATATTTTGAATGAAAATGTTTGTGATAAATATTAATAATTATTATTGTTATTGGCAGTCATTTACAAAAGTTATYATCCAAAATGCTTATACATATTAATTCTAAGAATTATAAATAGGATAATACAGTGTGCTTTTCTGGAGTAATATAAATAATAATAAATATAATAATGTAGAGACTGTGCATTCTGAGATTGCAAAATATTATTTTAATGTTTAATATTAATGTACATTACTAAACCTTGCATTCATCTTTAAAGTCAAGTATTTTAGAACATTTTTACCTGAAYTTGAAAGTAGGATTGGTCAGATATTTTTGACAATATATATGATTGTAAGATAGATTATTTTATGAAAGTCTTGTGGTGGTGATAAACGTAATAGTGGTGAACAGGGGTGAAGCAAGGCCGACTTGGCAATTATGCACATGTTTTTTTTTAGCCCTTGGGACTTTGAACAAAATGATTACTCTTTTTCTTGATAGGTGTCTGTGATCTAAATAACATCAAAACTGACACAAAATATTATTTTAAGTGATTTTTCTTGATGTGTATAAAGAACATGAATGTATATTTTTTGCTGAAAAACAGTTTGATGACTACCACAAACTGTCAGTTTGACTGTTCTTTCACATTTGAAGGAAAACCACTGAGTTTCTTCATTTTGTTATTACTGCTGAAAAATGAATTCATTCTTTTTTAACTTAAGAGCAAAGGAGAAACTGCAATATTAGCTTTAGTAGTGATATATGTCAAGTTGTGCACTGTTCAAGTTGGGCACTGTTCCCCTGACTAGGTACTTCGATGTAGAAAAGAAAGAATTCTTACCATACCAACGGAGCTGTAGGTAACAACTCACAACTTTATCAGATCGATCCGTATAGTAACATTTGTTTGGTTTTGTTTGTATTTACTATTCATCCTCTAGGAAATGTAAGAAAATATGGTTGAAAGTTCTCTTTATGATTGTTTAACTTTCTCCAGATCTCAGAGTTTTATTTTGATATAACTTGAAAGCCTTTTGAATCATTCAAAGAGATTGTTGGAAAAAATTCCATCGTAGTTGGAAATATATCCTTTGAAAGGACTATAATTCAGCTTTATTGGCGAATTAGATGACAACGTTTGCCGACAGTCATTGCATGCAGCCTGCACAAGCCATCCTTACAACTGTGGCGGGGCTATCAAGGAATTGTTTTAAATCCCTACGACAGTTGTAGCCATGTCGTAAGGTCGACTAACGCAGTTGCATGTGATGATTGTAGGCAAAAGTTGTGCCGTCTAATTTGGCCTTTAGTACCAAACTCACAACTGGCCTTTTTGGAATTTAAAAAGGGACATACAGACTCTGTTCACAGCAGAAAAGGAACTGGGAGCATGTATACAAATACTCCACTTATCACAAATTAAGCCTTGACACATGGAAGACAATGCTGCAGTTAGTTTTATCTCCATCTATATCAGTTTTGATGTGGTTATTCTTGTTGTGGTGTCCTTTGTTGTGACTAGGCAACTTCCCTTTTTGAATTTCGGAAGARACAGCAAAGACAAGAAGCATATTTGTATGTGAAATCAAGCGTATGATTCAAACTTTTTGTACATTATATATCAATCCTCCCTGGTGGGATAAGAATAATATTGTATGATCAATGATGTATTAGGTCTATTTACGTCCATCAATATATATATCTATATTCTATCATGTTAACTGAGATAAGTTTACTGTGACCAAAAAAGTTTATTCATGGGTGTAAATTAAATTTTGAAAAAAGAGAAAAATATGTCTCAGCTTTATTGTCTGCTAAACATATAAAACTATATCCTCTTAATAAATGTTATATTCATTTTATTTTTGAGTACTCTCTCCCTAGTCATCTCATAAGTATATTTTGTTTGATTCTTCCTGGAGGTCGCATTTGGCCTGAGTCTGTTGTAGTTGTTTAGGTCCTTGAGAATGAGCATATATTATGTTCATGATCATTACCAAATAATTCATGATATTTTGAATCCAATTTGGACTTCTTTGAAATTTGAATTTTTTTTTTTAATTTTCAACGACAGAGGAATGATTACCTTTGATTGGTCACCCTGTGTCAGTTTACACAGGAAGACCAAAAAATAACAGTGTGAACAAAGATGGCGGACAAAGAAGACGAACTTTCTTCGTCTTGTTTCGATTGCCATGCTCATATTGCTGCAGACGAATTCAGTGAGGTAAAAYATATTAATTTACTACTTTAAACTTTCCATTGAATCTCATAATATGTGTGCTTTAYAAATTCAAATACTGCGATTAACATTTTTACCAGAAATTTGCACTTTTTTAAAAGTCGAATTCTTATCTTTAAATAATTGTTTATTTACAGGATATAGATGATGTTATTGAAGCGGCCAAAGAGGTACTTTGCTTAAATCAAGTTTAGCAGAAATCGGAAAAGATGCTGATCCAAACTTTTATGATTTCAGAATATGTATAGCATACCCTCCTCTCCCCCCTGAGAAACTTAGTCTAAATCTGATATTAACTTAAGCCATGACTCATTTTTGTTTTAGAATGGGGTRTCTGCTGTTCTTGGTGTGACAGAGTTTAAAAGTGATTTTACGAAGCTGTTGATGCTTGCAGATAAGTTAGTAGTTATTATATATATGTTTGATACAAACACACTCAGCACTTTCCAAAGAAGTCCCTTGTACCACTATGAAATATTGGAAAAAAAGGATAGTTGAATAAATGAACAAATGCATAAATGAAAAGGTAGGTAAAAAGACTGCAATGATTGAACCTCTAATAGTCAAGGTAAAATCCATGCCAGATGAACAGTGGACACAATGTCTGAATCTCAATTTAAACGATAATTTCTGCCTTCCTTAAAAAAGTCAAAGAATAGTCTCTTTTTCCATCCCATCTTGAAAGATAGCCATGCTTGCATTGSGACAACTGTTGAGCATGCAACGATAGATACCTGTGAATAATTGTCTGTAGGTGTGAAGGAAGGTTTCTATCATTGCACGCTTAAATTCTCGTCTCGCTTCGATGGAAAGGTATGCCTACCTTTTAAGATGTCAAAGGAAACCGTATGAAGAATATTGACCAGTTAAGCTAAAATTTTGACTTGGACCTTGTTCCAAGTTAACCAGCTCTTTTTACCTTATAAAGATACCCAGATTTCATTGCACCATGTCTTGGTATCCATCCAGTTCAGCAGTTAAACCCAGAGAGAAGTGTTACCATGAATGACATGGAAGGTGTGGAGGATATGATTAGAGACAATCAACACAGACTATTTGCAATTGGAGAAGTAAGCATCACTTTATTAAAACATTATAAAGTGTAAAAGGTGGGCCTTTATCACAGGTYGCCCTTTATATATTACAGAACTTAGAAAAACAATCTACAAAAATGATGAAACATTTTGATATTTTTTTAAGTTCGAAAATATGAAAGCAAAAGTAAAGCAATGAATTGCTTACCAATGTCAATGTAAATGTTCAGTGCCACTTTTCATTATAATTCTGTGTTTCATGACCAGATTGGTTTAGATTTTACACCTAGATTTATCAAGTCTGACCATGACAAAGAAGTCCAGAAAGAAGTRTTTATTCAACAGGTAATAATATAGGAAACAATATCTAAGTAATAGTCAAGGAATAGTGTAGTCCATTGTAGGCTAAATATTATGTTTGTTTGAAATGGAAAATTTCAAAGTGTTAAAAAATTGCAATAATTCATCTTCTGCACTAATTTCTTCCTTCTTCCTTCATGCTTTTTATAGGTTAAACTGGCTAAGGAGCTGGACCTTCCTGTGTAGGTACCTTAATTCATGTTTGCTGATAAACAAKCCAAGATTTAATGGCTTACCGGTATTTTATTTCTATCAGGAATGTCCATTCCAGATCTGCTGGGAGGCATGTCATCAACATCTTAAAAGAACAAGGTATTCCCATGACAATAATAACATACTTGCATTGAAAAGTACATTTTTACACATGCTTCTATGGCTACTGGTATGCGTTAGTGAATTAAAGACTCTACACACAGATAGCAACATTATATTTCTGTGGCAAATGCATGCATATGGGTACATATGTACCCATTACAGTGCCGGATCCAGGATTTTTCAAAGGGGGGCTCCTCTTTGTTTTCGCATTTTCCTAAAATGAACTTTTTTACTGTGCCTCTCGAACTGTAGCAAATGTAGCGTGAATGTATTTAATAAAAATTCATTGTACGATGCGTTTTCATTTTATTTCATTTATCATTTATTTTATTTTTTGTTTTTTTATGCTTGAGGGGGGTTCCTAGGAACCCATGGAA